AATAGGCCTCAAATCAGTTTTCCCAGATGATGACAGCCCAAAAGGTGCACTTTTCCTTTCATATTGCAGAGCAGCACTTAAAGCGGTATACAGTATACGGTCCAGCTAAATGTGTGCTTTTCTTGCACTTCCATACGTCTTTAAAGCCCCCACTGCGCACACAAAAACAAACACATAAAATCATCACACCCGCACCGTTCTCTCCCTCGAAGATATTACGAGCCTTGTGTGAGAGCTGCTTCTTTTCTGGTATGATCAAACTCAGCTTTTTCCGTGGCGTCCTCGGGCGATCGCTAATTTGGCGCGCTTTGTTTAGAGCGGTGAGTCGTGTGTCTTTTGGAACACAGGCTCCCCTCGTGCCGCCGTTTTTTGAGTGTTCGCCCCAAAAAGCTGTCGAGTGCCACGGGCACACGCAAAGAGTTTCCCCCTCGGAGCAAGAGCGGGGTCAAAGCAGCACCTTCAAATAATATTTCTGGTGGTTAGCAAAACATGGAGAGGCAGAGGGAAGAAGTGAGAGAGAGCAGTCATCTCAGTGCTGCACGGCCCCCCGAGACACAGTCCCTCCTCTCTCCTTACATTCGCACATGTACACAAATTGAGGCACATGGAGTCACACACATATGTATATATACACAAACACACACACACACACACACACACAGGTTCTCCTTTAACAAGCACAAGCACAGTCAGTCTGTTTTCTATGGCAGTCCAACAGCTCGATGTGCTTCTTGCCCAGTGTTTCATGTGCCATTATACAAAAAGGCTATGACAACAGGAACACATTCTGTAATGTCAAAGATCTGAGAACACACTTACATTGAATCTGCAACTCAGTGGTAAACTAAAGGTAGCGACACACAAGGTTTTGGTTCACATTTTCACAAATAAAATACAGCAACGTGCCGATGCAACGTGTAACCATGTAGGGTTTGAATGCGGGTGTGTGTGCCAGAGACAGTTGGAAATCATTATCTCATTAGCAGCACTTAGACGATTGCTTAACCTGATGGTTTTGTGCAGAATATTGTGTTCTAGAAAAGAGAACAGAAGTCAAAACCTTCTCTTGATTAGAGTCAGTGTCAAAATCTCTGCATCTCCATCTTTCTTCTCGGCGGAGCCCAGAGGTCGGAGCAAACCGCAATAAAGCAAATTAATCAACCACAACAGAAATTATATGGTGACTCATGGTGAGTCACGACATTATTTAGAAATTAGAAAGGGGAGCAGAGAAATTAAAGTCGTAAAAGACTTTTGGGAGGTTGTTGTATTTTTTTCCTGGGAGAGATGTCCGGTGGTTTTTCCGCAGACACTGGCGCCTCTAAATTAAAACACAGCACTTGTTTCAGTTCAGCTCCTAATACAAAGTGCAGCAAAGGTTAAAGTCTCTGCAAACAAGTCAGATTTAATTAAAATTCTTTATGTGTTATTGGATTGTTTGCTTAAATGTTTCCACTACTTATCAAACCTGGCACAATACAGACCTGTGGAGCACTGTTCACATTCCTTCCTCACACACATTGTATGATCAGGAGAAGAAAACGACCAAGTGAAGACATTGAACCTCAGTCCAATTCTACAGAAATGTAAATGTTTTCACCTCCTTCACGACTGTAACTCTTCTAATTAGCTACTCACTAATAGTCCAGTGTGGTTTTAAACAACAGGCATCACAATTGATTGATTACAGCGCCCCCTTTGATTTACATGCTCCCACCGTTGTCATCAGAGGTTTACTGTTCATCTTGATGACTTCAAGTCTTCGACAACGTTTACTGATACGAGGGGCCATAAAGAGAGTTTAAGGTAAAAATTCAAGGTGTTAGAAATGCATAAATGACAAGGACATGGTTTTATTTATTTAATGTGGATAAATTATTCACTGTAACATATTTCCCTGTAAAATTACAACTAAGTACTGACAGCTGTGGCTGCCAATTTCATATTGTATATGTACAGTCTTACAAATGTCATTTATTTTTACAGTTAATTACTATATAGTTTATTACAACATTCTACAGTGTGCCGCCACTGTAACAAACATTAATCGTAAAAGCAGTTTTGTGTCTTTTTTTTTGCCATTTTAATTCTACTTTCCATTGTTTTATGTCTAGTTTTTGCTGTTTTGTTTCTGTTTAATGTTGCTTTGTGCCTGGTTTTTGTTGTTTTATGTCTGGTTTGTGTTGTTTTGTGTTTGTTTTTTATCGTTTTGTATCTGGTTTGTTTTGTTTTGTGTCTGTTTTTTATCGTTTTGTATCTGGTTTGTTTTTTTTTGTGTCTGTTTTTTGTCTGGTTTGTGTGGTTTTGTGCTTCAACTTGAGTCTCGTTTGTGTTGTTTTCATCTGTTTTTTTTGTGTCTAAGTATGCTGTTTTGTGTCTCATTTGTGTTGTTTTGTGTCTTCCTGTTATTGTTTTGTCCAGCTGACACTTTCAGTTTTTCTAACGGTCTGCTGTTATTGGTTGTTCTTTATGACTCCATTAAATTTTACAGTTTTTAAGTGTATATTGGAAAATATAGTACACTACTATTAGAATTTGGCTGCATTTTTATAGTAATTTATTACAGTGTAGATGGTTGACAAATTAATGGAAAATGCAACGTAAAGTGGCTCAGTGAGTTGTTGAGCTGTTACATGATGCCAGGACTAGCGTCAAAGCTTCTTGGCATTGATTCTCCAAAACTCTAGTGGAAGGAAGGAGCACAGTTCTTTGAAAGGCTATGCCCTCATTTGGTGTTTTTACTGCTGTCTAACATGTTGGCTGACAATCTACACACAAGTCTTTTATTATGTTGAGATTCGATGACCGTGAAGGACATAACATATGATTCATCATTTTCAACATTGAATGAGTCTGCATGCACTATGGATGGATGCTTTCTCATCCTGGAAGAGACCACTGCCATCAGGACGGAATGTCTCATTAGAGGATAAAGGTGATCACCCAGAACAACTTAATTTGCAGCGACTCGTTCTTCTAAGGGGACAAGTGGACCCAAACCACAGCGTAACAGAGTCACTGGATCCTCTCACTGCAGGTGTCAAGGGTTTTTTTTTTCTTCCAGTTTTTCCACTAATCTATCACCCATCTGTAGCTAAGTGGTTATTGTATTGCTAAAATCAAACATCTTGGATCAGTGCATTTAATTTACGTCTCTATGAGCCTTTATCTCCATGTTCTAACAAAAACTGAACTCACAGTATGTCCTGTTTAACATTACACCATGTGTTCAGGAGACATTACACAAACTCACAGGAACATTTAGTGAAGAAGTCCGGTCATCCACTCTGACAGGTCCGAACATAAAGCGGAACGTTTACCTATACGATGACAGTGCAAATATATACCAGGATGCACAAGTGTATCAGTGTAAGCAACCACGCACTGATGACCTGATGAAAGTCAAAACCAAAGCACATGCACACATCCAGCTCTCTCTTCAAACACTTCCCAATGACAGATGACGCTGTTACAACACTTCCTCAGCACAACTGGAGGAGTGTGTCTGGAAAACGTCTCTGAGGGGGACAGGACAAAGAATGTTATTATAATGGCTACCTTTGCCAGATGTGGTTCGCAGCGTGTTCGCGGTGATGTACAGACGGAGGCGAACCCCTGCGGGAGCCAGGATGCCACATATCACCATGTAAAGAACCATACTGCAGCTCAGGGGCTCTTGTTTTCTTTAAAATATTTGCAAGTTGGCAGCTGATGTGTAAACACTCAGCGAAGGCAAAAGAACAGCGTATGTGGCGGCATCTTTTAACCAGTCAAATATGGCCTGTGTTTGTCAAGTTGTTTGTCACTTGGGATTGTTCTAAAAAATGAAAATGAATAAAGGAAAGCCAAAACTGATCTATTTGGCCTCTTGTGTAAATTGTCCTTCCTCTGACTTCCAAACCAGCTTGAATACCAGCGAACAATCCATACTGGCAAATGTCCACTATCCATTGTGATGGGATGACTAAAACATAAGATTTATAGCACTGATTGCACTTGACTGACTGCACTGATCCATGTTGTGTAACACCACTGTAAGTGGAAACACTGTTCCTACGTTACATCACAACACAAACTACTAATGGGGGGGAGAAGAGATCTCATACATTTCTGATGCATTTATACACCAAACAAACTGCAGCTGATCTATTGGACAGATGTTTTTGACTTGTTTTTCAGTGAATTCAGACATAATGCGGGTATTTGAAATTCTTTTTTTTCTTTTTAATGATGAATTAATAATGCTACAGAAAGAGATGACAGACTTGGAATAGCTTTATGTGATTGCAGCACATCCTTTTTAAATCCTCTCATAAAATGTAGGGCAAAACAGGTGAAGGCTGCTAACTTTGTCCTGTTCCAGTCTGCCACAAAGGAGGCAGAGGATGATGTGATTTAGGATTTTAATCCAGAAAAAAAAACATGGGTAGCAAGATGATTTTCCCATAGCAAAAAAATAAAAAAATAATTCTGTTCTTTGTTGGACTGTGCTTTTCGGTTTATGGCATATCCATGAAAATGACTTGTGCAGTAATCTCATGTCACAGGGGAAAGTGAAATCTAAAGTCGTGCCAGCACAGGTCTCTACATAGTAATGCGTCTTTGATATGTGAGCTCTGAGTGACCTCTGAGTGATAAATGATATTGTTTAAAGCTGCGTGGTGCCAGTGTGGTATCCATTTTTGGTCTCCTGTCATATTTAGAGTGCACTGTACTTTCGAAACGTATTACAGGATTACTATAGTTAATTCTCATAATGGGCTCCTCCATCTTCCAGAACAAGCCAGGAAATCTTCATATAAACATGGCATCCATCCATCGCGAACTGAGTCACATCCAGGGCAGACCGCAGCCTGCAGAGTGAACAGAAACACGGAGGGGGGAGAGAGCTGAAACGTGACGGAGGAGTCACCGGAGCGGCACAAAAAAGGGATAGTGTCTAGTGGGAGGGGAGAGACAGGGATAGAGAGAGAGAGAGAGACAGGGAGAGAGGGTGAGAGAGAGACTATGCGGAGGAGTTGAGGCAGTGGCCTAGATGTGTGAAACGCCAGGGGTTGCTTTTTTGGTTCACTGGTTGACTACCAGGGGGCAACTCAATAGTCAGCCAAATGTAATGGGGAAGTTCTGAACCACAAAACTACAAAGAAAAGTTGTGCAGCCCACAGTTTAGCAGCTTTTAAATGATATGCAAACTTTTGGTTTTTGGAAGGCAGACATCCCTGACCAGTGTTTTCCTCCCGTGAGCCGTGCACTGGCAACATGCACTATCATGGGAACATGATGGTGGAACATGTAGACTGAGACACTCACAAAGAGGCTAAAATATCTATTATTCTGCCGGACGGTCAGCCTACTGCTTGACTGATAACGATGGCCTTGGAGGCAGACAGCGACAGAGGTTCATCAAGAAGCGCTCATGAAAAATATCCCCGGGCAGCGTTGGAGCGCAACGGCTACGTGAAGACATGTGTCACCCCGTTGTACCAGGACGCACGGAGCCAGTCGTGGCTGAGACTCGCCGTGACATGGACTTGCCGAGGAGTGTCGTCTGCGGTCTGCGTTGCCTCCATCTCCGTTATTCTCGCTCTGCTGCTCAGATTGGTCGACTGGGATGCAGGCAGCAGCAGCAGCAGCAGCAGCAACGGCACTAGCAGCGGCTCTCGTCTTCATTTCGCGGCGGGCTGCGCTGTGGAGCTGCTTTTGACTGCGTGTTACTGCGTCTCTCCCGTTTTCACACTCGTATGTGCCTTCTTCTGGGTCGGGCTCTATCTGATTCGCTGCGGGGTGCTCGTCCGTACCGCCGTGTTCCTGTTAGCGGTGTGCCATTTGGGCGAAGCCGCGGCGCAGTCCCTCCTGCGCGGCGCCGAGGAGCAGCTGCTGTCCTTCCCCGCAACTCTGGTAGTCCTCGGCTGCCTGGGCAGCGGGGCTCTGCTGGTCGTCCGCCTGGGTCAGGGAGTGTCCATCCTTGTCTTCATTAGCGTCATCCGGGCCGTCTCCCTCGTCTCTCTGAGCAGGGTCCGGGCCAGTTGGAGACCCTACCTGGCCTACCTGCTGGGGCTGCTGGGGGTTTTGCTTGCGAGGTATGCTGACCGGCTCTTGCCGGCCTCAGGGACCAGCGGGACGGGGTGCTGTGGCTCTGTGACCGGGGCGAAGGAGGAGGACATCCCTGTCTTCAAAAGGAGACGGAGGTCCAGCTCCACAGTGGCCTCGGAAATGATGGCTCACAGTCAGAGCAACAGCAAGTCCCACCGCAGGACTTCGCTGCCTTGCATTCCGCGGGACCAGGTAGGACATGTCCAACTTTGGACATCTGAACCAGAGCTGCTTTGTTGCTGCTTTGCTTATGACCTTTTAACTACTACAGACCTGTAATGCTGTTTTTTTTTTTTTTTTTTTAACTGTCCTCTCGCTCTGATGGCATCTATGAAAGCTTGACTCACATCGCCTTCAGCATGGGGCCAAGCGGAATAACAGCTTCAATAAAAAGGATTATTATTGTGATAATGAGGGCTTGTTTGCTCCATAGGCCCACATCTATAGCTTCTCATACTGGCTGGCAATCTGGTGTTTTTTGGGGGGTTTTACGCATTAGTATTCTCTCATGTCGTATAATATCACAGCGCTGTTTACCTTTCCTCTGACACTACTGTTAATTTGGTCATCATCTCTGAGCTGTGCGCCGTGTTTGTGCCGCCGATAAGCAAATGGATGGTGCGTTTATCACGCCAACTTACTGTGAGCCTCCGAGTGTGTGTGTGCGCGCATTCATAGGTGTGAAGTCACATCTAAATATTTTGAAAGCCTCTGCTTATCCTGGTCGCCGGCCAGTGGTATGGTGCCAGACTTTACACGTTCTGGAGCCTCTTGTCTTGCATGTTATCATCATGGCAGTATAAATAACAGGAGAGAGATCTGTGGAGAGACTTCGCTACACTGCGTATCTCTCCGTTCTGGCTCTGATGTGTTCATTAAAATGAAACCAAATTATCTCTGTGGCATGACTCATGGATCCTTGTCCTTGGACTTTCTATTTTTTGTGTGTGTGAAAACTGCTAGTGTAGAGAATTGGTAGATGAAGGTGTGACCTATGATGAAAAGATACATGTGACCAAAAATCCCTGAATGAGGTGAATGTGGTTTTCTGTCTGTAGTGGTTCAGTGAGTTAACTTAGAGCTTGTTTGTTAACTTCGGGACATATTTTATAAGAAAAATGTTTATTTTTTGGCATGCATGTGACACTTCAAGATTGTATTCTGTGACCTCTTGTACCCTGTGGTTCTTTATTGGTTAATACCAGAATGTTTAGTTTCATCTTAATACCAAGAATTTATATCAGTACTTGCAAAAAGACAAAAAGTTTAGTGTTCCCTAAAAAAGTGTGTCCCAAATGAAAACACTTTCAGATGTGCCATGTCCTGCAGAATTAGCCTCAAATTAAATTTTAATTTTGTGCTTTGTTTTATTTTTGTAATCACAGAATAACAGTAAGACTTTTTATGATAAATGTCAGTCTAGTAAAACAACAACAACAACAACAAAAAACAACAATTTTTTTTGGACAAAATAGTCTTTTTGAAAACACAAAGTGTAAGAATTTTTAAGAATGTGAAAATAAAGATTGGAGAGGAAGGAGCACTGTGGGATTTTTGAGTTTTCAGCCACATGCTGAAGAATTTTAACACAACTGGACAATAACATAATCGACTAACGTGTCATTTAACCAAAGCAGACATGATCGTATTTCAGCAGTGTTTACTCGTGGTGGATTTGTTAAAAAAACAAGTGATGCTACCTGCTCTGAACGCTGCCCTCCTGCAGTCTTTGCCCTCATTTGTTCTCATGCCCTCTAGTGACAAACTGAGATAAAAAACCAATGTAACGTGGGAGTAATCATTTCATCATCACATTGGAAACAGAAAGCGGGGCTCCATGCACATGTATGAGCAGCGGGGGGATTCAGGGATCATCCTGACTGAGTGAGCTTGTGTCACGCTCTCCCATGTCTAGCTTAGCTAAAGAAGCAGAATAATCCTCATTACGCTGGTCTTTTCCCTCAACTTTACCCAGATCTCATCTCGTTTTAGCCTCAGATTTTGAGGCTGAAACGGGCAAAGAAAACGTGGTTTAGAAAGACAATCCTAAAAGAAGTATTTAAAAAGTTAGATTTCTGTTGCAACTGTAGTTTGCAAGGCAAAGATTCACTTCAGCATTTAGTGGGATGATGGACACCTTCCTTGTCTGCACACTTTGCAGTCACTTTATTGTTTGTTTCTGATGAGGTAGATCAGTTTCAGCTGATTTCCACATGAATTTTATGTCTCTAACTTTGTTAAATTTCCACCACAAGCTGCTGGGACTCTAATAACCACAGATTACATTTACCAAGACTATTTAGTGATGAGCACAGCTTAAAAAATGTTCTTAGTAAGAGAAACACAGAGAAAATGCAAACAAGCAATTATGAGTAAGTAAAAGGTAAAGCCAGAAAAAGCACCTCTGAGTCGAGCTTTTTTAAAAAAAATCAAATGTGGTGTTTTAAATTCATATTTCAAACCAGATTTTTGTCGTGTAATAAGTTTTCATCTAGATGTTTGTGTCATTGATCTTCGTGAGATTGTTCTTTTGGATCCCCAGTTTGAAAAACAACAACACTGAGCTCTTTCTTACGCAACTTTTGAATGAAACGGAATCACACGTCCCGTCCCACAAGTTTCACTCTCTCATCTGGAGGCCCGAGCTGTTCCCACATCAGCTGTCTGATTGTTGATGCTCAGTTGTTCATTGCTAATTGGTATCCAGGGAACAGTGAGTTAGTGGACTATCTGTACTATTAGAACAGCTCCATTACCCAATCTGCCCTGTTGTGTTTGCAACAGGAATGATGACAAATTGAACTCTGAAACTTAAAAAAAAAGAGAAAAAAAACCCTCTCAACTGACCAGATGCTGAGGACGGTGTGTCTTCGTGTAGCCGATCGTCGCTGTGTAATCTGGAGGACCTGAGAGAGGAACATGAAGATTGATGAGAGAGAGAGAGAGAGAGAGAGAGAGAGAGAGGGAGAGAAGAAACACAAACAAGTAAATTTCACTTTAGGTTTAAAAGAAATGGTGGAAATAGTACAATTTCTTAGGTAACACATGCACTTCTTCTGTTAACTTAAAGACCCTTAGAGTGCATAGCAGACACATGATAAAGTCATATAGTGTAACCACAATGGTACATCACAAAATGTGAAGATGATGGATGATTCTATATCCAGGCCACTTCACAGAAAGTTTAGGGTAAATCTTATTTTTCACCATGCCAGAGCTTTTATGAGAGATTCAATCCGGTTAGCTAGTCACTAACTTTGTCTGCTGTTCAGTTTTGTGCATTTGATGTACAACACTTTTTTCAGAGCTCACAGTGGTCTATTGAAGCTGAACCAAAACAATAAATGTGTAGCCTGTCAGGCCCCAGTGGTTACTTACACATACTCCACACCTATAGCAGTGTTTATCTAAGAAATATATTATTTAACTTCGTTGGTAGTTTTACCAGAAGCTGGATTCTTTTTACTTGTGTCACACAGTATGATGTGCATACATTGTTGTCATGGTATCTTCCAGGTTGTTTAGATATTGTTAAACCACTTAACTTTTCTTGCAGTTTCCTGATTTGCTTAAACAATTTAATGAGCACATGCCATCCAGGCAGTGGCCTTGCTGTAATACAGACACTAATGTATATATGAAAATAGCAATATTCTAATTCTAATTCTGAACCGGTTTCCCATTGGCTGCCTCAGCCACTAGATCGACTTTGGTGTTGAAATTGGAAGTTTAAAGTATATTTGCTGCCTAAAGTTTGCACGATGAAGAAAACAAACATTATTTAAAGCTGACGCAATTTTTCTCTTTCGCGATGTGTGTAAATTACTGCTATGCAGTACTGCATCTGCCTGTCAGTGACAATGTGGGAAAGTGATGATGATTAATGAGTGTCAGAAATGTGAAACTCCCTATAAAGTCAGCTGTTACGTCATGAAGGAACTAGTGAATGAGTGCAGGGGATGGATTTTGGATACAGTCCCAGTCAGAACATCAAATGAAACATGCAGGACGATGACCCAGAGGTTAAAAAAGCAAGAAACTCTAATTATTAGATATTTAATGAATACATTTTACAACTCCTAAAGCCTCTTCTTTGACTGTATTTTAAACCCCTAAGCATATGCACCCATTTTATAGAACATGTATTTTACAACGTTTCAAAAAAGTCTCATCAGTTCCTGAGATTCTGTTATCTTCAGTTCTTCTCCTTTATATCAGTCTCTCTCTGACACAAATGCACACAGTTTGTAGGTACAGTTTATCCATACTGTAGATAATGAAGCTCTCCAGAGTGCAGTTGTACCTGAGAGAAGTGGGGGTTTTCATCAAGCGTTGCTTGTGCAGTATTTATGAAGCAGGTTGGTGCAGGCTGCCAAGCCAGAGGCAAGACAGGCACTCTGCTGAACTGGAAGCTGGGAAATAGCATTGGCTCAGCTCCATGGCTTTATTTCGGTATTTTTCTCAAACGTGAATGGGATTTATTGTTTTTGCTGATGCACTGCTATATAGAACCTCGTATAATTGTAATGTGAAGTCGCTACACTCAGCACGATCCAGTTTAGAGTGATAATGTTTGAGGATTTTGACATGAATTTTACTCCATTGTGATCCTTCTGGACGAGCTCCACAGTCAGGCCTTGTGTTATGACAGAAGTTGTTTGTCTTTTTGCCAGGGTCTCAGTGGGATGGGGATTTTGGGTAATAGTGTTTTTTGGGTCACATGCAATTGAAAAACACTCGCTGTATACAAGATAACGACAGCCATAAATAGATTGTCTAAAAAAAGGAACGGCATTTCAAAGTGTTTTTATTTTCTGATGTTTTACCATGCAGTTTTCCTCTCCCTCTCTGTTAACACTGTGGCGATATTTTAAAATACGGAAAACTTATGATAAGCTTCCCTACATTCTACCATGGATAAGGCTGTTCTGTGTTGCATAGTATATTCATCATCTCATCACCATATACAGTATCTGTGTCAAACAGGAGGGGATAGGATGGAGGGAGACAGATTTTAAAGCAGAAATATGTGCTCCGAAATCTATTTGAGGGAAGGCCCACATTCTCTCACTGACGCACATACATTTCCAGGGAGACACACAACCTTCTCCGGTCGCCAGAGCTCTCTGAATTCAAGTGACAACAAGGCTTCATTTATCTTATTTACGACGGCGAAGAACATTGTTTTTATT